TATCCCACTATTCTTTATTAAAGTGGGATAAATAAATAAATAAATAAATAAATAAATATTTATTTATTTATTTATTTATTTATTTATTTATTTATTTATTTATTTATTTATTTATTTATTCCACTTTTCTCCTTTAAAAGAACTCAAGCCGGCTAACTAGACAAAATCCTTTTGCCTAGTTAACACTGGCGGAAGGAAAGTAGTGTAACTTGCAGCAGCAAGTTGCCACTAATTGATGAGTCCCCACTTTATATGTGGGGGTCATTAAATATTCCTCATTGTATTTCATGTGGGGAGCTAGGTGTGTCTCCAGGATTCAAAGCAGAGATTCATTGACTAACAGCAGTTTGCCACTGTGCATTACATCATTTTCCTTCTGTTGGAATAGTCACATAATGTGATTTTGGCCATTGTATTTTCCCGTGACAACTGAACTGAAACATTATATGCCATCTCAACTGTAAATTGCCCTGTTAACTTGTAAATGGAAGGGAGAAATTCAGTATATAATTTGGGGAGTATCAGTAAGTAGAACACATGTCTCATCCTAAACTGAAAATACTGTAGAGAATGAAAGGTTTTTAAGAGCTTTCCCAAATGTTTCTACGCATCCATTTGAGTCCTTCCATGCAGGCAGCAGCTTATTTGTTTTTGTTGCTAGCCGGGTTATTTTGTAGATCTTTTCTTGGTTAGATTTTTCAAATGACTGCCAGGTCCTTCCTGCACTGTGGCAATGATAAATGCAGAACATGTGGTAAATTAATGCTCGGGGATTTTGGTCAGTGTCAGCCCTTTCTTCAGTGTGTCAAGTTAAACAAACAAGATCAAGGCGAGGGGAAATGGTAATTGTCTCTCTCTCCCTCAAGATGGTCCACAGATAAGAGCACTGTTGAATCTAAATGCAGAAATTTTCATGGGTTGTCTCCCATAATTATTTATTTTCTCATGTATATAAAGTCAGCAGAAGAGTTCAACTCAGACATAGTAGGTCAAGTTGCATGACTAAACACATTTTTGGAGAGGTTAGAACCGCGTTGCGTTGTGATTTCTATCATGCTGGTTCTGTTTTTGGAAAGAGTAACCTCCCTGTCTCATTGAGGGTCTTATAGTTAGGGTCCAAATTGAATAACCCTTAATTTTATATTTTTAAAAATCTGCAGGCGTCTAGTTTAAAATCATACTTATTTAAAATTTGGCCTCTTTAAATGTGGTAACAGTTTATCCATTTTTATGATAATCTCCTCTTTAAAAAAGACAATTTTTATCTTGCTTCACACACTTCAGGTCATAATAATGTTTTTAAAAGCACTTTCATGCCATTCTGAGCAGCAGAAGGAACAAAAGAGATCTTGGCCTAAGGCTTAAGGTCTAAAAGATAAAGCATACCAAAAGGTGGCGTTGGGAAGGTGGATAGGGTTAGGGTGTGTGAGAGCATACTCAAACATTATTTCTCATTTAGAAGGGTCCAACAGGTGCTCTTTTAAGTCAGGGGAATTAATTAATTATTATGAACTCATAAACCTGAGCAAGTGAAAATCTTAGTTTATAGTTTGTTCCTGTATAGAAGTCGGGGCTTCCTTCCTAGGGCTTCTTTAATCTGATTGAAACTGTACTAATGTGGACGGGCAAAGCACAGCCCAAGGGCTAGACGATTACCCTGCAAAACGACGAATCCGCATGACGACGAGTTTTGGTGATCACCATTGCGCTTCGCAAAACAGTGTTTCCTATGGGCGATTTTCACTGGATGATGTTTCGGTCCATGCTTTGGAAAACGGTTTATTTTTCGGGACCGAAGCTTCACAAGAGGACAATTTAAACAGCTGATCAGCGGCTTCGCAAAATGGCTTCCCTATGGGTGATCTTTGCAAAACGGGTGTTTTTGGGACCGATGCTTCGCAAGACAGTGATTTAAACAGCTGATCGGCGCTTTGCAAAATGGCTTCTCTATGGGTGATCTTCGCACAACAACTATTTTCCCCATTGGAATGCATTAAATGGATTTCAATGCATTCTAATGGGGAAATGCTTTTCGCAAGATGATGTTTTCGCTAAACAGCTATTTCAGTGGAACGGATTAACATCATCTTGCGGGGCACCACTGTATTTAATTCCCACACATCTGTTTGCCTCCTACCGTTTGAAGCCACTACAAACAAAATCTTACAGCATTTAGAAAACGTTCCTGTTTGGTCTTTTCAGATGAATGAAATGTACCAGTACAGTCTTTTGCATAACTCTCCTAATGCAGAATGCACTATTGGGATTGCTAAATAGTTCTGAGTGCTCTTGCTGAGTTAATTAGCTCTTTGGCAAATCCTTGCAGGAAATGTATTATTATCAGAAGAAGAATGGGGGAAAGGACAACTTTTCCCCATCCTCCAAACCATATTAGATTGGTTATAGTGTTGGGTGAAATATACATAAGGGTATAAGAGAAGGTTGCTTGAATGTTTTTTTTCTATTCTGTTCTGTTCTATTCTATTTCTTACCACCTTTCTCCCCACCTTTCTCCAACACACACACATACACAAACACACACACACACAAATTTAAAATAAATAAATAATTTTAAAATTTCACACACACACAAACACACACACACAAATTAAAAATAAATGAATAATTTTAAAATTATGCAGTACTAAAAGGGTCTTACAGCTCCTCAAGCAGGTCATATGTACCTAGCTTAACTATCTGTCCTTTAGTCTTTATTTTATACTGTAAGCCTTCAGGATAGAGCTCTGTCCTCCCATTCTTTGCAACATGACACGTACATAATGTCAGTAAACAAATGCATTCATTTGGTGTTGGACAAAAAAGAAAGCAGATGCACTTGCTTAGATCTTGTGGCATATCACAAGTAGCCAGAAGGGTTCCAGTAAATGCTTGACCACCATTTCTCACACACACTAGTGAATTAACTTTGATGTCAAAAACAATTTTAAAAAATGTGTGGGTGGGTGCATATTACCTCCTGAAGGAATTCCTGATCACAAACAGAAAAAGAGGCTAAATAATGCATTGCAAATTGTTCATTCATCTCTACTTCAGCCCTTAAGAAAGAAGTCAGAAAAGTAAAATAAGGATGTGGCTTGTAGCCTTTTTTGTCATGACTCAACCACAGCATGAAAGGGATGTACGTACTGAGGGGGAAGAGTTTTCTGATTGTTCTACAGATCTCCAGTACTTTCTTTCTTGTAAAGTAAAATGTGAGCTTCTATAAATGCACTACTAAGAAGGTTTGCATGCTTCAGATAGTACTGGAGGTGCTTTTGGTAAATGTAGTGCAATTGTTGTTTTTTCAGTCCTTAGGATGCTGGGATAATGATGACATCATCATCATCATCATCATCATTATTGTCGTTGTTGTTGTTGTTGTTTGCTTATTTGTTGTTGTTGTTGTCGTCGTCGTCGTCAGCGTCAGCGTCAGCGTCGTCCTTGTTGTTTGCTTGTTTGTTTGTTTTGGCCTGGGTGTAGAACTTGTGACCTTCCAGATGTAGTAAGACTTCAGTGCCCATCATTCCTGACCACTGGCAGCGCTCACTCGGGTTGACTGATAAGAGTTGAAGGCCAGTGACGTATTGAAAGGCTCTGGCTTCCTTATGACTGGCCTGTTGAGCTGAAATGTTTTGTATTGTGAGTAAAGGAAGACTTTAAAGTCTGTCATAGAACTCTGGGCATGGCACTGGCAATTAGAAACATTCCTTTGGTATTTGAGTACCAGTTTACTTGGCTGTGTCGACACCAATGCTCCTATGAGTGAATGTGTGTTAGAGAGAGAGAGAGAGAGAAATATAATAGACATTTTAAAAATTCTCATCTTTTTTCTTCTCCAGCTCATGACTGCTATTCAGAAAGGATATGTCTCTGGAAGCCGGCTAGCTGTACTCATGAAAGCAGCTGAAGAGAACATTCATCAGCGTGAAGTCATTTCGGTGGATCGAAGCGGGGGCGGACTGTGAGTGGGGACCTTAACAGCTGCAGAATGCTGCCCCGTGTAGCTGCCTCTCTCGATGCTGAAAAACATTCCAGTGCTTTTGGATGTGTCTGCCTCCTCTGCACAGACCTGACACGAGCAGCGGTGCATAAAAGTGCATTGTTGCAATTCTTCCCCCTCCCTTTCCCCTTTCAGTTTGCTCTGAAGATGCTACTGCTCCCGCTTAACTGCCTGCTGAACTGGGCATCTGTTTTTGCTTTTTGTAAAATCAATGGTGGACAAGAATTTGGAGTAAGAAAGAGTTAGGGAACGTCTGTGACTGTGAAATGCCATTTCTAGGCTAATCTTGGAAGATCTGCTCTGCTGCTTGTCTGAACTCTGAAGCCAGGGATCATGTGAATCTGAGTGACCTTTCACGCTGGCACCTCCTGCACAGGAGTGAGAATAGTTTCCTGGGCTCCATCTCTAAAATGTCCCCTTTCCGCTGCATTGACCTGGCAAAACGTTCAGGGCGCTAGCATGCCTTTAGAGTCTTAATGTGTGGGCTTATTTCCCTCTTCTGAAGAAGTGTCTTGTGTTCAGTTCCATCTTTGGCTGAGAACATTGGGGCTAATGGTGTATTTAAAAGTGTTGCAAGGCTGTTTAAAATGTGCATGGCATAAAACGGAGTGTTTTGTCACAGGAATGTAAGGGTGTTGGCATCTAGGATAATTTTGTTGTGGTTGTCGACTATTACTCAAAATATAAGAGAATGTTCTTCCAGTTAATCATAGTAATGTTTAGTCATATTTGAGTACTGGGCCCAGTTCAACTAAAAACACAGCTACGGCTCATGGAAGCTAGTGTGGTTGAAGTCGCTGTGTCCTGTACAGCAATTGCAATTTACAGATGGATGTCTGAGAAACACACTGAGGCAGCTTTAGAATAAAAGCACATTATAAGGATATCTGTAAAAAACTTGGTGCTTCTTATCCCACTGTGGAAGACTGTAACAAGGATAGAGTTTCCATCTCTGTTCCTTCCCCAATAAATGCATGTTCTGTTTAGCACATAGTAAGGTGAATAGTGCATGTAGCTGGTTTTCCCCCTTTCTTGTGAAATTTCTGTAGAAACATGTTTTTGAATCTGTTCATCTACGTTAGATGCATAAAACAAAAGCACAAGTAGAAAGTTAGCATCATGGCGTCACTGTACAGTAGAAACATTCAGCAGGATTTCATAAAAGGTGATATTTCTACTTACCCAGTCTGAAAAAACTAGGAGTGAAAAAAAATGCCTTTGAATGAACTTGCCTCCTATCCCCGTATTAAACTGGACAGAGGTCCCTAAGAAGTTTCTTACTTCCTTGACATGAAGCAAAAGGGAAGCACATCACAGTACTGATAAAGCTTTAGGTTGATATCCTTTTGGGTTTTATTTTTTACCTTCTGCAGGCTTTTCACCCACATTCTTTTTTTCTTTCTTTTCTTTGCATCTTTAAATCACAGGGTGTGTAAGATTTACACAGGCGTGGCTTTCAGGCTTAGCATTTTCCCCCACTTTATTACCTTCACCTCTTGAGTGGCAAAAAGAAGAGCAATCATCTGAATAAACCGTGAGAATTGGCCTTTGCCTGGTTTCCAGATACATGTAACTGAAAGTAGCTCTGTACACCAGGGATTTGCATTCAGTACAAGTGCATATCACCCTTCTAATGAACAATGATTTGGTCTTAATATTTCACAGATAATATCATCCAACTTTTTTTCTTTCTGGAAAAAAAACATCCTAAACCAAATCAAGCCTGAATGATCTCTGGAGGTAACAATGATGAAAGTGAGGCTGTTCTTCTTTGGGCACATCATGAGAAAGCAGGATACTCTGGAAAAGACAATAATGCTGGGAAAGGAGGAAGGCAGCAGGAAAAGAAGACGGCTGGATACGGGATGGGTCGACACCCTGAAAGAAGCTATGGCTTGAGTTTATAAGAGCTGAGCAGGGCAGTTAAGGACAGGATGTTCTGGAGATTGTTCAGTCATAGGGTCGCTGTACATCAGAGGTGGCTTGATGGCACATAACATCAATAACATCAGAATCCTGTGTAACAAGTCGGTGGCCCTCCGTGTGTTTTTGGATCGCCATTCCTGTGATCTTTCACCCGTGGTTATGTTGGCTGATGGAAGTTGTAGGCCAAAAACATCTCGAGGGCCAGAGTTGCCCGTTCCAGCTCTCTGCAAGCATTGAAGGTGGCTGAGGCCTTTTCCTCCTTGTAAACAAATACAAGTATTTGCTACACAACATCTAACTTCAAAGGGATGGATTTGCCCGTTGTACATGTAGTATTTTAAAATGTTGTCCAGCATGGGGGGTCTGAACCTGGATGAGAAGGCATCATTCTAAAAACAGCCTTGCAAAAGCTTGTGCAGATGTTTTTCATCATTACTTTTCTACTGTGATACATAAATAGTCTTTGGAGGACATTACTTTTTTGTTTGCTGGCAGTGGGGGGTGAGGGCGGAGAAACAGATTCCTCTTGCTTCCAGGCCTTGAGCATTTCAGTGGAGTTGATGCATCTGGCTTATCCTTGTGCCAGACATAGCAATTGGAGTTCACTTTCTCTCTCTCTCTCTCTCTCTCTTTCTCTCTCTTTCTGACTGCACGAAACTGTTTTATGCTCTTGGTCTATTTGCTGCTCTCCCTCCACATGTTTTACATGCCGATTTTCATCTCCTGTCATTAGGTTAAGCTTATTTAGTATAGAAAAATCAGCTCAACTCAGACCCTAGCTTTTCTGTATGTTCTAAAAGCACAGGGAAATGGATGTTTGCTGTATGAAATGTTAGTGCCTTGACACTTTAAAAAATCTAAACATTTAAATAAAATGGTATTTTCAAACTAACTTCCTCCCCTTCAGATAAAGGATAATGCCTATAATCAGGAATGTGTGTCTATGTGAGCATGCCTGTCCTTCATTCACATGGGCATCACAGTTAAACCAATCCATTTCTTTGCCTCCAAACTTTAACTAAGCTCTGTAGTGAAATATTGAAGGTCAAACCATGCCTGTACCCAGCAACTGAAAGAGGATCTAACATACACATTCACATGCATTTTTCCAAATAGAGTTCCTCTTCAAGATAATGCAGGATTTTCAGTAATATCTCATTATTTCTCTGACTAGGCTAGCATGATTCCTGCTCCCTCTTTTGCTACTAGTGCAGTGGTGTCGTGAGCATGCATGCATATACATCTGTTGTTTTCATAATTTATGTGGGTGCTCTCAGTTTTGGATGTGATTACTCCTTAGATTTCTGCCCAACTTTTCTCTTCTGATCTTTTCTTATGGCAGTCAGATGCTCATCTCTGTTTCATGGGGCTGGGGGTGGGGTTGTGTGTGTGAAAAAGGTTACATGCATCATCCCACACCTGCTTGATCCCGTAAAATTGAAGATGGAGTGTCACTTGATTATGTGCCATCCCTGGATTTTAATATTTGTTTGGAAGATTATAATATGGGAAATGTGAAGCAGTTCTAAGGCTGTGTTGGGTCGTATTAATGCTGTATAAAGATATTGTACTGCTGTGTGTAAAAAAGCAAGGAAGGAAATTTAACAGCAAAGAGCCGTATGGTTGGTGGGGGTGTGTGGCATGTGTGCTTATGCACGCATACATATGTACATACATATACATATATACATGCCGCATGTTTTTCCATCTGGTACTTTTATGTATTGGGTTGGGTTATTGTTGAGAACTGGACTGTTAAATACTGTGTTTGAGGCTGGTTGTCATTTTTATAACTGTCTCTGTGTTTTATTGCCATTATTTATTACTTTTGATATACAGAATGAGCTGCATGCATTTATAGAGCAATAAGAGAATGTATTTAATGTGCCTTGTTTTTAACTGAACAAGAACTGAAAGCATGAATCAATAAAACTGATTAAAATGGTCCAGTCACTGGCATTTTGATGTTACTGGCAGTTACGGAAATAAAGTGGATTAGCCTTGAACTGTTTCTACCACCACCCGCTGCCACCTTTTTTTTCCTGTGGTGAAGTTTAAAACAAATTCCTAAACATCCGTTGTAATGAATAATATAAATAATATACCTGTAAATTATTGGCCTTAACTCTTTATTTAGTAAGGCAAATTAAGAGTTGAAATACAGAGAAGCTTGAAATACTAATGATGGGTGTTTTTCCTGAAGCTTTTCATTGCTGTTTTCTTACCATTTTTGTCTTATTCCCTCTGGGATCAAACAAATGACAGTAGCCAGCAAATAGTTACCAGGATGGACTGATTTATTTATTTTATTTTTCATTTAACCAACTCTCTTCAGGCGCAATGTTCCCAGACCACACTGATGAATTTTATCATGACTAAAATCAATAGGAATAAATGGAAAAGATTACATAATCCATTTTGATCATCTTGCATGTCAGGTTAGTCCAGAATTGCGGAGCGCTGATAAATGTTCTGACAACAAGAAGAAAAAGCTATATATTTTCAGTGACACTAAACAGCAAAGCTGTTTATAAGTTTTTAACACAATTTAATTTAGAATGCTGCTATTCTTTTATAGCATCTTATTTGCATGTTGCATAATGGTTTTGGTTTGGGTTTTTTTTTTTAACTATTTACGGTTATTCTCCATATGCTCTGCTGGAGGTGGCCAGAACATTCCAGAAGGTTTAGAACTGAAATGTCTTTAAAATTATTGAAACCCTCTCTCCACATTATTATGGTGTGTTAGGCAATGTTAATAAAACCATGATGCCATATCAGCTCTGCCGCCCAAACCTATAGGGCCTTCTCTCTCCTCCTACAAAACAACATTAATGTCTTTCTTACATGGAGCTCATAGAAACCACTATCATTTCTATGTAGATATCTGTGGAATGCTATCTTCAGGATAAACATAGATAAGCATCCTGACATGGGGGGGGGGACTTGTCCCTGGCCTCAAAACCTGTGGGAAAAGGACATGCCAATTTTCTCAGGAAATATCACAGCAGTGTTAGTAGTTCAGCTGCAGTGCTTAAGAGTGAATTTTGCCATCAAATCTGAACTGATTGCATTTGATTGGAGGAGATTATAAAGAGAACAGCATCTTCGGTAATGTGCATTTTGCCATTAAACGTGTTCGTATTCTCGCCTCTGGAAAATGAAGGGCTTCTCAAGTTTATGCTGCTTTTTAGTCTCATTCTTTTTCCCCACCTCCACCCCCCAATTATCCGCTGGAGGTATGAAACGTATACAAAGGCAGAAGAGCATTCATGCTGTACAATATTTGCACAGGTGCTCTGATGTGAAGGCTGTAGGCTTCAGTCCAGAATCAATACTTCACTCAATCTGTGCGAGACGCAACTAATTTAGAAGAATTCCAGGTCTCTGCTCCCTGCTAGTGTCTCTGCTTTCCATAAACTGTCAGTGGCTAATTCCTTGATAAGTGGAGCTAAATGGTGCTTTGCCTACTTTAATTTACTTGGAGCTTTTTATTTCTGAAGACCTAAGTATGCATTAGATTAAGCTGGGATTCTAGAGAAGAGCACAGAAAGAGAAAAAATCCTTTCTGTTTTAAAATATTAAGAAAGGTTGTTTTAAAAAAAGTATAACTGGAACTTTAAATTGGCCTTCGCTGTTAAAGCTTAGAGTTCTATTTCTTTAAAGTTGTTTTTTTAAAAAGTGGTGATGTACCCTTGATTAATTCTTCTTAACAACTGTATGATCTCCACTATCTCTGTTATCCAGTCTTCATACAGTGTAGTGCTGCTACGTAGCAAATAAGGTACATCTTCTGGGCTACGTGACTGCCTTCATAACAATAAAAGTGCTAGCTACTATCTATTTAGATTCCTAGAAATTCACTGGGTCTTCTTTTGTAAATGGAAAAGAATATCCACGTCTGTTGTTTCCCTCAGTCCTGTTATCTGGACCAGACATTTGATCCTGTTTTCCCAAGGCATTCTATAATCTGTTTGTCCAAGTGGTGTAAATTTGACTAATTGAAGCATTAAAACTGAGGCAAACTGGAGTGAACTGAATAATTACAAAGTGATTTTAAGTACTTCCCCCCCCCCTCTTCTTATAGCAAGGTTCTTTGGATTTCTTCTAACTAGTTACCTGAGAACACAAACTGAGGCTTTGTCTCCACTAATCTGTTCTGGCGAATTTATTTTACTGAACCACTGAGATGCTTTTAGTTTTGCATCTCTACAATTAACTGATTTGCAATTCATTTTTATGCATGCTGAGTTTTTCCTGTCCGAGTCAAGAAGCTGTAAATCTCTGATCTATTGAACTGACAGGGAAATATATTTCATTTCCCCCATGAATCATTTGCCACTCTTATTGCAGAAAAATGGCAAAATTATGTGTGTACCATGTTTTAATAAATTACTGCTTCAAAAAAAATTTGTTCTATAACCTGTGTGGAGAAAAATATGAGGA